GGGATTATGGCCATCTTAACAATATTAAATGTTCAATTTACTGAAACAGGATGACTTTCCATTTATTTAGGTCCTCTTTAATTTCTTTCAGCAATAATTTGTAATTTTCAGTGCACAAGTCTTGCACCTCCTTGGCTAAATTATTCCTATGTATTTAATTCCATTTGATGATATATTTTTAAAAGATTTTATTTATTTATTTGACAGACAGAGACACATGGCAAAAAAAAAAGGTAAAAAGGAAAAGGTGAAATTGATTTTATTTTTTTTAAAGATTTTATTTATTTATTTGACAGAGAGAGACACAGTGAGAGAGGAAACACAAGCAGGGGGAGTGGGAGAGGGAGAAGCAGGCTTCCCACGGAGCAGGGAGCCCGATGCGGGGCTCGATCCCAGGACCCTGGGGTCATGACCTGAGCCAAATGCAGACATTTAATGACTGAGCCACCCAGGCGCCCCATCCATTTGATGATATTTTAAATAGAATTGTTGGGGGTGTCTGGGTGGGTCAGTCGGTTAAGTGTCTGCCTTTGGCTCAGGTCATGATCTCAGGGTCCTAGAGTTGAGCCCCCCATCGGACTCCCTGCTCATCAGGGATCTGCTTCTCCCCTCCCCCCTGCTGATGCTCTCTTTCAAATAAATAAATAAAATCTTTAAAAAAAAATAGAATTGTCAATTTCATTTTAGATTTTTTCATTGCTACCATATAGAAACACAACTGATTTTTGTGTGTTGATCTCATATCCTGCTACTTTGTTGAATTCAGTTATTGACTCTATGTGTTTTGTGTATTGTTTAGGATTTTTTATATGTAAGATTATGTCATCTGAGAATAGAGATAGTTTTCCTCCTTCCTTTCCAATTTAGATGCCTTTTATTTCTTTTTCTTGTGTCATTGCTCTGGCTAGGATTTCCATTACAGTCCTGAATAGAGGCAGTGAAAGCAAGAATTCTTGTCTTGTTCCTGATGTTAGGGGAAAAGCTTTCAGTCTTCCACCATTGAGTATAACATTAGCTATGGATATTTCATAAATGCCCTTTATTATGTTTGGTAATTCCCCTTCCATTCCTAGTTTGCTGTTGTTTTTTGTCAGGAAAAATTGGGTTTTGCTCAATGCTTTTTCTGCATCAGTTGAGAGGATCATGTGAGTTTTTTCAACTTTGTTTTATTAATTTACTGTTAAGTAATTTTCTTATGTTGAAGCATCTTTGTATTCCTGGGAGAGTTCCTATTTGGACATGAAATGTAATATTTATAATGTGCTGCTGGATTCAGTTTGCTAAAATTATTTGAGGATTTCTGCATCTATATTTTTTTTTAAAGATTTTAAAGATTTTCTTTATTTATTTGAGGGAGGAGTATTTATAAGCAGGGAGGAGTATCAGAGGGAGAGGGAGAAGCAGACTCCCCACTGTGCAGGGAGCCCAACACAGGGCTCATTGCCAGGACCTTGAGATCATGACCTGAGCAGAGGCAGATGCTTAACCAACTGAGCCACCCAGGCGCTTCTATATTCTTTTTTTTAGAGATTTTATTTATTTATTTGAGAGAGTGAGAGTGTGAGCAAGTGAGAGAGAGAACTCGAGTGGGGGAGGAGCAGAGGGAGAGGGAGAAGCAGACTCCCCACTGAGCAGGGAGACCGATGCGGGGCTTGATCCTGGGACTCCAGGATCATGACCTGAGCCAAAGACAGACAGTTACCAACTGAGCCACCCAGGTGTCCCTCTATATTCTTGTTTTAAAGATTTTTTGTTTATCATATGAAAGAGAGAGAATGAGTGGGAGGGGGCAGAGCGGGAGGAAGAAGCAGACTGCCCGCGGAGCAGGGAGCCCGATGTGGGGCTCGATCCCAGGACCCCGGGATCATGACCTGAGCTGAAGGCAGTCGCTTAACTGACTGAGCCACCCAGGCACCCCAGCAAAACAATTTCTTAGAAAATTCCCCATAATATTAACTCGCTATGTGATTATATAACAGACTTACACTGATTCCTATTTTAGTGTATTCAAGCAGATACAAATCCCAGGTGTTTTGTAAAAGATAATTTTCAACTTTCCAGGGTGCCTGGGTGGCTCAGTTGTTAATCATCTGCCTTCGGCTCAGATCGTGATCCCTGGGTTCTGGGTTCTGGGACCAAGCCCCGCATTGGGCTCCCTGCTTGGTGGGAAGTCTGCTTCTCCCTCTCCCACTCCCCCAGCTTGTGTTCCTTCTCTCACTTTGTCTGTCTCTCTCAAATAAATAAATAAAATCTTTTTAAAAAATTTTTTTCAACTTTCCTTATACTATGTGCCACGGTTTAAATCTAGGCCTTTTGGGGCGCCTGGGTGCCTCAGTTGGTTAAGCAACTGCCTTCGGCTCAGGTCATGATCCTGGAGTCCCGGGATCGAGTCCCACGTCAGGCTTCCTGCTCAGCAGGGAGTCTGCTTCTCCCTCTGACCCTCTTCCCTCTCATGCTCTCTCTCATGCTCTCTCTCTCAAATAAATAAATAAAATCTTTAAAAAAAATAAATAAATCTAAGCCTTTTGAATAGGCATTACTATCATATTTCTCAAACTGTGTTCCTTTTCCTTTAAATATGCTGTGCACTTTCCTCTGGAACCTAGACTTGTCAAGGTCTTAAACCCCACATGATGGATGTTAACATGTGTCTCAAATTCATACACAAGGAATTATTAATTAAAGCCTCACAGTTCATGCACACACACACACACACACATACACACACAGCCCACATTCTTGGAAGATTATTCTGAGGCCAGTAAGTGAGGCAGACTTTCATAGCTGACTCTGGCCTAAGCTAGTGCTTCTCAAACTTCAAATTCTGATTCAGTAGATCCGGAATAGAGCCCAAGATACAGTATTTCTAATTGCTCCCAGGTGATGCTGATACTGCTGGATTAGCAAAGCCCTAAATGACTTCCTCAACTTTGATGATCCTTTTACAGGACCCCAAAATAGAAGACCACTTCACCTGCCCAGACTTAATCTCCCTTGTTCCATTCTTCTTCCAGGTGTTTGTCTCCTTTATGTATTCCATTCTCACATCTGTCTAACTAGAACGGTTTTATTTGTGTGTGTTGAATGCTGTTGAGAAATGCACAAAGCAAGATTAGAAGGCAGATATGATTGGGAGGAATTGCAATGTACCACTTGCCATGTACCTGTGCTTTTTCCTCCCTACAGGTCTTCTTTGGCAATGTGGATTCATCTGGGATAAAACACAATATTTTTAACCCTCCAATTATTGCTCGGTACATCCGTTTGCACCCAACACATTACAGCATCCGCAGCACTCTTCGCATGGAGCTGATGGGCTGTGATTTAAACAGTAAGTGCCAAGTCATCATGTGTCCTTCCCTCTCCCAACCCTGGGGAGGATGACTAACTGAAGAGTAGGGGGATTTCCCAGGACACAAAACTATTAATGCTAAAACAAGCCCAGTCCTGAGCAAATCCAGGACTTGGTCATTCGAACCATGGGATTCCCTAGGGGCAGCGCCTCCCAAGGTACAATTAACAAGGCAAATCAAAGTCAAACAGAACTGAGAAGGGCTGACCCAAAAATGAGGGGCAGGTCAGGTTAACAGTAACAGAATCAGTGCCAAAGTCAGCGCCTGAGAAATGATGTCAGGATGACAGTTGCCCTGGGGCTGCATCTTCTCCTGATGATTACATCCCTTTCATCTCTCTGAGGTTGCAGCATGCCACTGGGGATGGAGAATAAAGCAATATCGGATGCCCAGATTACTGCCTCATCCTACTTAAACAGTATGTTTGCCACTTGGTATCCTTCACAAGCCCGATTGCACCTCCAGGGGAGGACTAACGCCTGGAGACCTCAGGTAAGAGGCAACAAATTTGCCATTTAACTGATGCAGAGGAGGGAGTACAGGTTGGGAAAGAATAGGGAAGGTCCTTGACTGTTTCTTTAGAGGCATTTCTGTCACCTAACTGTTCCCAAAAAAGTGTCAAGGGTGGTTGCCTCTGGGGGGAAAAATCCCCGCAGATGTCTAGTGGATGTGCCTTGTGATCTCACACAGCATTTGTGGGGGGAAATGATCCCTAATTGTACCTCCTAGAAGCAGAATCTCTATATGCAATCCTGGGCAGATGTCTGTGAAGGACTTGTAGTAGCTGAAGTAGTTTCTCGGTGCCTCAAAGGAAAGTGCCACAGCCATGTACAGTTGATTGGGCACAGTTGTTTTTCCAGAACCAGTGAATTTGTGATTTTCAGTCAGTGAATGGCTTTTGGTGATGAATGCAGTCAATGGTCTCTGCTCCTCCAAGGGGCTTACTTTAAGCAAAACAGCTTGTATAACACATTGCCGAACTTGTAATTCTCTAGTCCATCTATATACGGCTCTATATTCATTTAGCCAACATTTACTGAGCACCTATTGAATGGCAGACGGATACAGGGATGAATCATGAAAAATTTCGGCAATGAAGTTGCTTAGAGTCTAATAAGGGAGTCTGACAAAGAGACCATTAAGATGCAGAGTGATACGTGCTATGACATGGTGAAGAAGAAAGGGTGTGGGGATTTCTGGGAGCAAATAGTAAGCAACAGGATACTAGTCTAACTGACTTCCCCAGGCAAATAATCCAAAAGAGTGGCTGCAAGTGGACTTCCAGAAGACAATGAAAGTCACAGGAATAACCACACAGGGGGTAAAATCGCTCCTTACCAGCATGTATGTGAAGGAGTTCCTCATCAGCAGTAGTCAAGATGGCCACGACTGGACTCTTTTTCTTCACAATGGCAAAGTAAAGGTATGCTGGTCTCATGCGAAAGGCACAAGAGCTCTCCTAGGGCTTGACATTTAGAAACATAACGAGGTTGATACAAGATCAAACTTTCAAGATAAATTTTATTGAGTCTCTATAGTAATAGGACACCATGAAAGACATTTTGGGAGGACACAGTAACTCCAAGCAAGGACATACAATCCCAGGAAAGAGCAGAGTAGAGCCAAAAGTTGATTATCCTCATGGATGTTGATGTCATCCAGGATGATGGCAAGAATCAGAGGGCTGAAGAAGAATGAGAGTTACTTGCCAGATGTTTAAAGATGTCTGTATCCTCATCAGCAACTTAGAGTCCCAAGCCTCATTGATCTTTAACATATGGGACCCAGACAGTCTTCCTTCTTGATGTGGGCTTGCTGGATAAGTCAACAAATTATGCTAATTAGAGGACATGACAAAAGTCTTGCTATCCCATGAGTAATGTGAGAATGAATAGTTAATCTCTATGGTCTCTTTTCTGTTTCATCAAGAATTAATCATGGTGTGGCCCTTACCAATTTCCTTTGCTCTCTAAGCTCCCCCCATACTAAGAAACTCTCAGGTCCCTAAAAACAGCATGTTCTTTCTCATACCAGGCTTTTACATTCTACCTGTTTACATACTGTTTATTCTACCTAGAACAGTTCTCTCCTAGGTACTTAGCACTGCCCCTTTTACTTGGCTCATTCTTTAAGTCTCAGATAAACATCATCTCCTCCAGGAAGAATTCCCTGATCCTCCAGTGCTGGATTAGACTTCTGCTTCTGGCAGTTCAGTGGACCAGAGTATAGATAATATGTATGCTACAGGACATTCCCATTTTTTAAAGGGTTTATCTCTGATACATGCTACCATATGGATGAACCTTGAATGCATTATGTTAAATGAAATAGGCCACACCCCATGGTGGGGCACGGGAAATGTGGTGTCCAGAAATAGGCCAGACATAAAAGGACCATTCATATGAGTGTATTAGTGAGGCTTCTCCAGAGAAACAGATCCAATAGAATGTGTGTGTGCATGCACACCTGTGTATGTTTGTGTGTGTATAAAGAGATTATTGTAAGGAACTGGCTCATGATTATGAAGACTGACAAGTCCCAAGATCTGTAGGGTGAACCAGCAAGCTGGAGACCCAGGAGTACCAATGGTCTAGTTCCGGTCCGAGTCCAAAAGCCTGAGAACCAAGGTAGCTGATGGTGTAAATTCCAGGCTGAAGGCCAGCAGCCTCAAGACTTAGGAAGGGCCAGTAATTCAGTTTGAGCCCCAAAGCTGGAAAAGTCAATGTCCCAGTTCAAAGGCAGTCAGGCAAGAAGAGTTCTCTCTTATTCAGAGGAAGGTCAGCTTTTTTGTTCTCTTCAGGCTTTCAAAGGATTGGAAGAAAATCTGTTTTATTCGCTCTACCATTTGAATGTTAATCTCACCCAAAAACATCTTCACAGACACACCCAGAATAGTGTTTGACCAAATATCCGGGTACCTCCTGACCTAGACAAGTTGGCACACAGAATTAACAATTATAATGAGGTACCTGGAATAGGCAAGTTCATGGAGACTGAAAGTAGAACAGAGGTTACCGAAGACTTGGGGAGAGGATAATGGAGAGTTACTGTCTAATGCATAGAGTTTCAGTTTTGCAAGACGAAGAATTCTGGAGATGGATGGTGGTGATGCTTGTACAACATTGTGAATCTATTTAATGCCACTGAATTGTACACTTAAAACTGGTCTAAATGGTAAATTATATGTTATGTATATATTACCACGATAAGGCTATCTCACTTATAGTACATACTTCTTTTTTTAAAAGATTTTATTTATTTATTTGAGAGGGAGAGAGAGCAGGCAAGAGCACAAGGGCAGGGGGAGAGAGAAGCAGACTCCCCACTGAGCAGGGAGCCCAATGATCCCAGGACCCTGGGATCATGACCTAAGCCGAAGGCAGACGCTTCACCAACTGAGCCACCCAGGCACTCTATAGTACATACCTTTGTTTTTGTTTTTTTTCCCTTTCTTCTCCTAGTCTTTTATTTGTTAAGCAGTAGTCTTTAATAATAAATGCCAAAGGAAAGCAACAAACAAAAGCAGGAGATTTGCATAGTGGATGGGAAATGACTGTGAGCCATGGCAGACCAGAAGTTCCTGTTTTGTTCTGTGGGGCCAGGAGTCTGCAATGTGGTGTACTCATCTTTCTTCTCCCCCCACAAAGGTCTCAAACAGCTTAGATGGGAGGCTGAACATGATGACTGGTCCTAATTTTTGCTATTCAGCCATTTTTCTTGATCTTGCTCTCTGACTCCGTACATTCCAGACTGTTCAATGGATTTGTAATAAACTTCCAAGATGAAGGGAAATTTCTTGCTCATTGTCTTGGAAGGGAAATTTCTTGCTCATTGTTTGCCTGAAATCTTGGCTTGCATTCATCTTATTAAACAAAAAATATGCTCCAAAAACGCCCAAGAGTTCAACTACTAAAACTCCTTTAAAGATCTTCTTTGCCACTGGTTCCATAGTGCGGGCCATCCTGAGGTGCTCACACGCAGGACTGCCTATAGTACATACTTCTTAATGCATTGTTACACTCGGTAAGGAAAGGGGACTCTCCAGTCCCCAAATAAAACCCCATGAGCTTTTATTTGAAAATAATGAGCTGAAATCAGAGCAAAGAGAGGTAAAATATGAGAAACTGTAAAATGGATGACCCTTCCTAAAGGAAAATGCTTATATTAGTGTTGTTATTAGGAGACTAAGCTTTGAGCAAAATGCAAGGAGAACTGAACGCATCAGGTAATGAACCCCAGAAGGGAGCTAAAGTAGTTGCAGGTTAGTAGCACCTCCTGGCATCTGAAAGAACCATGCTCAAGTCCACTCAGAAGAAAGCACTCCCAGTTTAGGTCTCCAAGATTCCCACATCCTAAAATGATAAGGTCATAAATATTAGCAAACATGCAAGACAGCAAACCAACTTGACTACAAGTGAGCAGAGGGGCTCCTGGCTGGCTGTCAGTAGAGCATATGACTCGATCTCAGAGTCATGAGTTCAAGCCCCCACACTGGGTGTGGAGCCTACTTTTTTTTAAGATTTTATTTATTTATTTGAGAGAGAGAAAGCACAAGCAGGGGGAGTGGGAGAGGGAGAAGCAGACTCCCCACTGAGCAGAGAGCCTGACACGGGGACTCAATCCCAGGACCCCGGGATCATGACCTGAGCTGAAGGCAGATGCTCCACCAACTGAGCCACCCAGGCGTCCTGGGTGTGGAGCCTACTTTAAAAAAATATTAATGAAATTTAAAAAAACAAGTGAGCAAGAACAATCAATACAGAGTTAGTATCGAAAAACTTCAGATATTGATGAACTATGAAAACATAAAAATAAATGACAAATTATCCAAAATTCTTAGGCGGTTTTGGGAAAACAAAAGTACTTTTAGAAATGAAAAGCATAGGGGTGCCTGGGTGGCTCAGTTGGTTAAGCATCTGCCTTCAGCTTGGGTCATTGTCCTGGGGTCCTGGGATCGAGTCCTGCATCGGGCTCCTTGCTCAGCAGAGAGCCTGTTTCTCCTCTCCCTCTACCTACCGCTCCCCATGCTCGTGCTCTCTCGCTCACTCACGCTCTCTGTCAAATAAATAAATAAAATCTTTGAAAAAAAAAAGAAATGAAAAACATAGTTGTTGAAACTTGAAAATCAAAGAAAGACTTAATAGCAGATTAGACAAAGAGACAAAGAGAATTTAGTGAATTGGAAGATACAGCTGAAGAAATTACCTAGGATGGAGCACAGAAGACAAGACATATAAAAGGAAATTACATAACCGGAATCCCAGAATGAAAGGGAAAATATAGTGGAGAAATGGCAAAATGTTAACTTTAAAAAGAAAACTGCCAGTTATTTTACCTGCAAAAATGGATTGTTTTGGAATAGCAGAGAATTCCAATCTGGAACAAGCAAGCTAGGGCCAAACCATAGGCAAGTCTGCAGAACAAAAGAGAAGCACACCCTTTTAATACAGAAAAGGGGGGAGTTGGGAGGAGCTGTTATAAACAAAAAGTCCATTGGAATAAACTGGAAGTTGGAAGTATACTGGTTTTTCACTGGCTGAGTTGTGACTCTCTCTTATTGCCTGGGCTGTTGTGGGGATGAGGGTGGAGGAGGGGTGAACTTTCCTCCCTCCTGCTCTGGTAGAGTAAAGTAATAAAGAAAGTGGTATCCTTTTGTTGGATTTTCAATTGAGGATAAGTGGTAAGGTGTGAGAGCTCACCCTGCTGGCCTCCTGACTCCATTCTAAAGGAGGTTTCCTTTTATTAATTTTCACAAAACAAACAAGGACTAGCACTTTTGCCACTTCTATTCAACGTGTTACTGGAAGTTATAACCAGAGAAATTAGTCAAGAGAAAGAAATAAAAGGCATCTAAATTGGAAAGGAAGAAATAAATCTTTCTTCACCAGTGCTATGAATATATATTTTTAATTGCATAAAACCACCCATAACCCACCTACAGAATAGCTAGAATACAAAGAATACTGTAAGTTTCTATTTACAAGTAAGTAGAAAATAAACATGCAGAGCCAGCTGAGCTAGCTCCAGAGCTCACTCTGGAGAGTCTAGGAGAGACTGTGCAAAAAAAAAGAGAAAAGGTCAGTGGTAGAAAACAAAATCACTTCTGGAAAGAGAAATTCCCACCCTGAGTGAAGAAATACTAATATTCAAGACCTGTGGATCAGAATATTGGCTTCTGGAACCAAAAGGAAAGGGATTGAAAGTATGTAGGACTAGAGGTGACACTGTTTCTGGTGAAGGGCGATACATCTGTTGGAGGCTTGGTGATGAACAAGAACAGAAATCAACTTGTGGAAATCAAGTGTCCTATAAAAGCAAAAACATCACAAGAAGCGAGCCCCTTTCTGTCCCATCTATTAAAGAAATTGCACTTCACTTTATCAACAGTAGAGGGTGCTCCTGGACTAATAAACCTAATACGCCACCCAACTTTCTTATCCCTGCCTACATAAAATCATCTGTTATTTCTGGATCAAGAAATTATAATTTCTAAATGAACAGAAAACAGCAAACGAGGTAAAAGGTGTTATTGTTCTTGATTTTTCACTGCCTCTTTCCTTGAAATCTCCATTGTCTTTGGGCTTGGCAATAGTACTCATTTGGACCAATGGAATGTGAGTCCAAACAGAAACTTTAAATGTGTGTGTTTGACTCAGTCTCTTGTGCCTCTGCCGTGAGATAAAAATGTCCAACCTGAGAAGACACATGGAACAGGAGCCTCGGCCTGGAGCAGAGCTTCAATGAACCCAGAGCACTCTTTGTCTCTAGATACCATTTCCCAGTAAAAGGAAGCTGGGATCCTTAGAAAAATTACTGATTCCAAAGCTGGAGCAAAGAAACTGCCAGGTAATCTTGGAACATCTCAGTGTGCCAGAATGCACAAACACTAATGGGGTCTTATGAAAAGGACACAAGAGCTGGATTGAAGGGGTTCCTGCTGGCCAAATTTGAGACAATTTGAGCATCAAAAAGAATAATGATGGTAATGGATTATAATACATATGATAAAGAAAGAATCCAGGAGTCCAGAATCATAGTTTAAAATATAAAGGGGGAGGAGGAGCTTTTCTCCATAGAAGAATTCCAGCTAAGAAATGTAGAAGAAATGACAAAATTAGGAAATCAATTTGCATTCATCAATATACTATTTAATACTTGTAAGGAACTTTAATGAATGCTGAAACCATTGGATGAAAGCTTGATGGGGAATATTTACATGGTCTCAAAGTATCATCCCACAGATTGTTAGGGAAGGGAAATGATCACCTTTATAACAGAGTGATCTGGTGGGCACCACCTTTACCGTGTGATCACACTTTGCATCATCAATTTATGGGACAAACTAGCATCCTGTGTCCCCTGATGTGATGTAATGGGAAGGACACATCATGCACTGGGTTTTCTCACTAAAAATATTTAACCAAGGGGCACCTGGGTGGCGCAGTTGATTAAGCGTCAGACTCTTGGTGTAGGCTGAGGACGTGATCTCAGGGTTGTGAGATGGAGTCCCGTGTGAGATTCCCTCTGCTCCTCCCACTCAGGTGTGCTCTCTCTCTCTCTAAAATCAATCAATCAATCTTAAAAAAATATTTAACCAAAATCTAATAATGAGAAAACAGACAAATTTAGAATGTGGGTTCTACAACACAATAGTCCTAGACTTTTAAAAATGTCCATGTCATGAAGGACAAAAAAAGTCCAGATACTAGGAGTCTGTTCTAGATTAAAGGTGATTTAAAGAGATATGATAAGTGAATGTGATGTGTGGTTTTTATTAGACTCTGGATTGGAAAAATTGTATAAAAGGGTATCATACTGATAACTGGAAATTTAAAAATACTAGGCTATGTTATATCAATATTACATTGGGGGATATGATAATGTTATTCTGTGGTTATAAATACCATATCTTTAGGTTTGACATGCTGAAGTAGTTAGGAGCAAAATGACATGAGGTTTACAACTTCCTTTCAAGTAGTTCAGAAAATGTGTGTGTGTGTGTGTGTGTGTAAGCATGTATGTAGAGAAATAGAGAGATAAAGTAAAAATCTCAATATGTTAACAATTACTGAATCTAGGTGAAGGATTTAAGTGTTCATTGCATTATTCTTTCAATTTCGTGAGGTTGGTAACATTTTAAAATTAAAACTTGAGGGGACATAACAAGGAATAAGTCTAACAGAAGATATACAAGCCTCCAAATATACCATAAACATTTGTCAAAAAATCCCAGGACAGGGACTTTAATGTTTCTCAAGAGTTTCATCAAACACACAAACTTTAACAAGTGTTTATAGTGTATTTGCCATGTATATACATTATACTATATATTCTATGTGACCAAGGTCTCTGACCCTCATGGAGCTGACTGACATTGTATTGCTTTTATCGCCCTAAAGTTAGTACCAAGAGGTGTGAAACCAACCTATGAAAGCAACTCACATTGGTTGGACTGTAGATACCATTTAGTGAGCGCTTATTGTGCACTTTCCTTGCAACAGCAAATGCCCTGGGGCAAAAGCCTGACTCCCACCTCCACAAGGCTCAGCAGGCAGACGCGGGGTGTAACCTCGCACAAAACATTCAATTTCACTAAGATTTTGGCAAGTGGGTGAGAACATTCCAGATATAAGGCATAGCTGGAGCAAAGGCCTCCACAGCAGGCAAGCCAGGTTCTCTTAATTCAAGATGTCACTTTCCCAGGCCGATGCATAGGATGCGGAGTCATCCAGTCACCCCCCCGCCCCGCCCCGGTTCAGTCCAGGACTCCTGGAAGCGTGGACTGCTCAATGGGGAGTGGAAAAACGTCCGTACGTTGCAATGGGCCCTGCGATAGATGCTAGTGAGGCAGAGGGCCCTGGTGGGGGCAGAGGTATGGGTTTGCGGCTGACACAGTAGGAGGCCAATGGACTCAGTGGCCTGGAGGAGCGGGCGAAGGGGGACAAACATTGTAATGTTCTTCCTGTCGGACAACTAATAAATGCTATCTTTCTTCTTTCAGGTTTTTCAGGGAAATCAAGACTCTTTCACACCTGTGGTGAACTCTCTAGACCCGCCACTACTGACTCGCTACCTTAGAATTTACCCCCAGAGCTGGGCACGCCAGATTGCCCTGAGGCTGGAGGTTCTGGGCTGTGAGGCACAGCAGCTGTACTAAGCGGCCAGCACCCCTCTCAGACTTGTCTTCTGCCTCCAAGCCCAGCGTCCAGGTTATTTCCTGCCCCACGATGCCCATGGCGCCATGACTTTTCTGTGTGGTTAAACTGCACAGTCGTAGCAGACACTGCCCTGAAGCCTCCCAAATCAATTGTCATTAATCCTGCGTTTCCTGGGAGCGTTGCATTCAGTTGAACTCTTCACCATTTGCTGCAACTGCTCCCAGATTGGCTTTTCCTTCCCATGTAATGAGGAAAGGAGAAAACTCCTCTGGAAAGCATTCTCCTCCTGACAAATTAGGTCTCTCACACAGCCACCACTTCCTCTTTTGTAGAAAAACAGTGTGTTTAAAGTTGGCAGAAGATATTCATGACGTAAGCATTTCAGATTAGGCTTCATACATTTAAAATAAAACTCTCATTTGTTTCTTATCCTGGTGAAGCATGGAGCAAAACATGTTTGGGCATCATATCACCACAGCCTTGAAGCCAAAGGCAAGTCATCTTAACAATCTGCAAAATGGAGATAATGTAAGAACCAGTACATAAAGTCTATTTTTGCCTCCTTATAGATATAGGTATAGATAGATACAATTATCTTAGTTGGTCATCCTGGGGCATTGTTAGTGGCATACTCTTACCTCAAAAACTAGTGTTTTTAAACTGAGACTCACAGGTGGGATTCAAGAACCGCCCCCCCATTCCCTGACATTATATACAACATTATGTATGAATGCATATGTGCATTTTTCTGACAGCAGTGTCCAAAGATTTCATCAGAGTTTTAAAGGAGCAAATGGCTTTAAAGAGTTCAGTTTAATCTCAGAAGGATGTACAAATAAAGCCATTTGGTCTTAATTCTAATCAACAAGTAAAATAATAGGTTAGGATCACAGAAGTAAAATGACAATGTCCCCTTGAAATTTGTGGTGACCATGAAAAGTAATAATCATAATAGATTTCTAAAGAGCATATTTTTAATATTCCCACAGAGAAACAAGGAAAATCCATGGCTATCCGGGATAGGAGCTTCACCTGTATAATTCTAGTGATACACTCATTTTACTCCCTCCCTCAGCTAATTTCCTGCTGAAACACAGCCAAAATGAAGCAGGGGAAATTCTATACCGTGACTGGAAACTAGAGTCCCAATTACATAGTTGGAGTTTCAAGGAGTCAGAAGAACATTGAGCTGGTGAAAGCCGAGAGAAAACAGTTCTAGTGTGCCACACCCGCCACGCAGAACGAGCCTCCACCTTGCCCATGCTTTGTGCTCTGTGCGTGAGGCCGTGAAGGCTTTACTGCTTCTTACATCTGCTTGCCCCCCTCACTATGACTCCACAAACATTTCCTAAATGGCAAAGGGGGCTAAAGGCAAGGATAAACCATAGAGCAGTTGGAGGAAGCATCCAAAGTTGGCAATCCAGAGCAATTTAAAAACAGGAGTTCCTAGTATAAGAGAAAAATGTATTACAATCTCAGAAGAAGTAAGAAAATAAATGCTTTTTTTCCCCAAGCTAGAGCATTTTCTAATAATCCTGCTTGACACTGATCTGACCTTTTGGGGGCATGTAGCACAACTGGCACAGTAGAATCACAAACCACAACCCATGAAGGTACAAAGGGTCATAATTCTGTAAGATTGTCAGGTTAGAGGTTAATTTACAGAAATCAATAAATTGTTTTTCATAATAGCCTGGTAGAAAAGTTAACCCCAAAGGTGATATGGTTTTATTTCCTGTAAAAGGTTAGTCACTCTTATGTCTAACGTAATGACCTTGTTTTGGCATTCTTTTCCTATTGACTATATACGTCTCTATTTCTCAAATGCTCTTGGCCCCAGGCCTTTTGTCTTCCTGCTGGTTTCCTCAATAACTAGTTAAATAAAATCTTGGCACATACAAACAAATGCCTTCGAGACCTGTGTTTTTACACTGGAAATAAAAACAAACAGAGGCACTGAATAGCAGGATGGACACTTTAGAAAACCAAATTAGTGAGTTAGAAAACCAGATTAAATTGAGCTCAGAGTAGAAAGTGATATCATTTACGAGAGGTAAAATAAAATTTTAAAAATTAGAAATGGAGCCTTGATCCAGGAGAAGACTATAGAGAGAGAGACTGAAAGAGAAATGGGAGCTGCAAGATGAGTAAGTTCTAGAGCTGTGCTGTACAATATTGTGCCTGTGGTTAACAATACTGTATTGTGCACTTCAAAATTTCGCAAGGTGAGCTATGGTAAGTGTTCTTACCACAGTAAAAATTCAAAGTTCCTGAAAGACCAGATTGGATGTGGTCAAATAAAACAGTAGGAAAAACTTTGGGATAAAATAACAATAATAATCAAACAAATTTGAATCTTCAGATCAGAGTCTCTTAATGCAAAGCAAAATTAAAGAAAGACCGGAACAGGGGCACCTGGGTGGCTCAGTCGTTAAGCGTCTGCCTTCTGCTCAGGTCATGATCCCAGGGCCCTGGGATGGAGTCCCGCATCGGGCTCCCTGCTCCGCAGGAAGTGAGTTATTTACAAAATCACTGAGATCATAGCAAGTTAATTTTCAGAAGATCAGGAAGCAAATTCACTCTCCTATGACAAATATAGTCTCCAAGTGAATAAATATAATTTTCTGTCACAAACATTTTATCAAACATAATCTCAAAGTTACAAGTCAACAATCTTTGGAAGATACATACTAAAACAAGTCTATTTTTCAATGTTATAGAGAAGTTTAGGGGCACCTGGGTGGCTCAGTCGGTTGGGCGTCTGCCTTCGGCTGGGTCGTGATCCAGGGTCCTGGGATCGAGCCCCGCGTCAGGCTCCCAGCTCATCAGAGAGGCTGCTTCTCCCTCTCCCTCTGCCTCTCCCCTGCTCATGCTCTCTCTCTCAAATAAATAAAATATTTTTTTAAAAAAGAAAAGTTTAGTGTACAGACTATATAGAAATCCAGCTTTATGATGACAAGATACAGATTTAGACTTAACTTTATTGTTTATAAAATGTAACAATTTCTAACCTTCCTCGACTATCTCATCACAGGGTGATGACTGACATAGTGCTTCTAGAAACTTTGTGGGTACAATTTCATCCATATTGCGAACCAAGACTGGGACTATTTATAAAATTTTATCAAGGGATATCTTAAAAGACCTAAATAATTGGGATTAGAAGACTCAATGTTACAAAGATTTCCGTTCTTCACAGACAGATCTACAGATTCAACCAATCTCAATCTAACTTCCTGCATTTTCTCATTGTGGAATCAAGCATGTAGAAATGTAAAAGGCCAAGAATAGCCAAAATATTCCCAATATCAGATAGCAACATTTATTTTTTAAGATTTTTTATTTATTTTTAAGTAATCTCTATAACCAACATGGGGCTCAAACTCACAACTCTGAGATCAAGAATCACATGTTCTCCTGACTGAACCAACCAAGTGCCCCAGCAACATTTATTTTAAAGCTGTAGTAATTGGGGCTCCTGGGTGGCTCAGTCAGTTAAGTGTCTGCCTTTGGCTCAGGTCATGATCCCAGGGTCCTGGGATCGAGTCCCACATTGGGCTCCCTGCTCAGTGGGGAGCCTGCTTCTCCCTCTCCCTCTGCCGCTTCCCCTGTTTGTGCTTTCTCTCTCTCACTCTCTGTCAAATAAATAAATAAATAAAATCTTAAAAAAAAATAAAGTCACAGTAATTAAGACAACGTGGTATTGACACAAGTGCAGATCAATAGACTAGTGGAACATATTAGAATCCAGAAGTAGACCCACATTTTATATGGACACTTGATTTATGACAAAATAGCTCTCCAGAACAGTGGTACAGGGTCAATCAGAAATCCATATGAAAAATTGAAATTTGGGGCACCTAGCTGGCTCAGTCAGTAGAGCATGGGACTCTTGATCCTGGAGTCATGAGTTTGACCCCCACCTTAGAGGTAGTGATTACTAAAAATAAGTAAATAAATAAACTTAAAAAGAGAAAGCTATTTTTTTAAAAAAGGAATTTGACCCCTTCCTCACACTATACAAAAATAAAATCAGTTTTAAGGTAATTAAAGCTCTCTGAACAACAAACAATAAAACTTCTAGGAGGGTCATGGACAGGTTTCTTAAACAGCATCCCGAAAACCACTAACCATGAAAGAAAAGATTGATAAATGTGACTACATTTAGATTCAGATTTTCTGTTCATTCACAGAGCGGGAGAAGATATTTGTACAATTGACAAATGGATGTGGAGCTGGTGGAACTCTCTTCTGCTGTTTTCTGGAAAACAGTCTGGCATTATCTACCAAAGTTGGGCATGTGGATGCCCTCCGATAATTCTCTTGGGTAATGACCTAAGAGTAGAATTGCCATGTGGGCCATGAGGCAGGGGAGCACCATCTGTAACAGCTCCAAACTGGAAACCAGCTCTCTTGCATATGTTTCCTCGTGGCTCGTTTCTTTTTAAAGATTTCATTTATTTATTTCACAGAGAGAGAGACAGCGAGAGAGGGAACACGAGCAGGGGGAGTGGGAGAGGGAGCAGCAGGCTCCCCGCTGAGCAGGGAGGCCGATGCGGGGCTCGATCCCAGGATCATGATGTGAGCCAAAGGCAGACGCCTCACCAACTGAGCCACACAAGCTCCCCTTTAGTTGCTCATTTTAATTGCTGTATACTATTATGTTATTTGGTATATATCACAATTTATCCATTGTTTTTCTGATAGAACTCTAATACATCATTTATGCTGGTTCTTCTATGGAGGGGATCATCTTTTCTTAAAAATTAACCTGTATGATGGGGCGCCTGGGTGGCTCAGTTGGTTGAACATCCAGCTCTTGGTTTCGGCTCAGGTCATGGTCTCAGGGGTAGTGGGATTAAGCCCCAGGTTGAGCTCTGCACTCGGCAGGGAGTCTGCTTGAGATTTTCTCTCTCTGCCCCTCCCCCCACTCACCTGCATGCCCGCTCTCTCTGTCTCTGTCTCTAAAATAAATAAATCTTTAAAAAAATTAATTTGT